TTACAAAAATGTATTATTATTATTATTATTAGGGCAAAAATTACATATACATTTAATACTATTTTGTCTTATCTTTATTTTATTTAATCTTTAAATATTTTAACATATTTGCTTGAAGTTTTTTAACATAAAAACATAAAATTGTACATAGTTTTTAACATAACATCTATCTGTCTATCTATCTATCTATCTATCTATCTATCTATCTATCTATCTATCTATCTATCTATCTACAAAAAAACAACAATATGAATGATAATATCACAAGTACTGGCATTTAAATATACAAAATTGTTGCACAAAACAATCACGGGATTTCCTGGATTACTGGATTAACTTTACAGGTTTAGTATCAAATCATGGAAATATATTTAGCGTTTAGTTTGAGACTGATGAAAACTAGCCATTGGCTAAATTCGGTACAATGCATGGAATGGAAACATTTATGTTAAAATTGTACATGGTCCCTTTTCAAATAAATTGTAATAAATAACAGTAAAATAAAAAACTGCCGTGCTATCATTTACCACATTTTGTTCCATGTTAGCATGCTCAGATAGCCCTACCATTAAACAGAGTGATCTGTAAGTGGTCACTGAGCAATTTTTGACCAGAATAAGCTGGAGTATGTACCAGACAGTCAAGACCAGTCTCTATCAATCTAGTATATGTGCACCACAGGGGCGACTGCATGTCTGTACTTGCTGTATATTTGTGCTGAGGATGTGGGAGTGTTTGACATCTTGTAGTCTAAAAAGCAGTGTGAAAATCTAAAAAGTACCGAGAAATGGATTGGGAGAGAGTAAAAGACTGGAAAAAGACAGAAATTTGTCACTGTTTTAAGACTAAAAGCAGGGGGAAGAGATTTTAGACGCAGGAAAAAAGAACCTAAGAGCTCCTTTAATCACAAGCTCCCTCAACCCACTTCAGTTTCCCAGCATGCCGAGCGTTAGTGTGATCACAGGATGGGAAACCACTGTAAAGCCTACTTCTGACCACACACACACTCCTTCTGTACTAAAGTACTACTCCAAAAAGCTGTGAGAACAAGACAAAGATAAGACGGAGAAAGAGACCCGACTGAAGGATGAATAATCCCTTCAGCTCACTTCTCTCTCTCACCCTGACCCAGCTTAGAAATAATAACTTAATTCCCGTAAAACTCTCCTCTCCTCCCTCACACACACTTACAGATGCAGACAAAGGCAGAATATTAGCTGTCGAAAACGTGCGGGCCTCCATAAGACTGAAAGATGGATGGATAAACATGACAGAGAGGTGTTAGATGAGGGTTAAACAGATGGAAAAACAGAAAGACGGAGAGAGAGGGAGAGTGTGAAACAGATGGACAAAGAGGGTGAGAGGCAAACAGCTGAGAGGAGAAGATGAGGAAAACACAGATGGACATGTAGACTGCCATTGTGTGTGTGTGTGTGTGTGTGTGTGCGTTTTTGTGACAAATGAGGACATACATTTGTATGACAAAGTTATGACACAGGTATTACAAGGAGAAGGTGACTTTTGAAATTCTGCTAGTCAAACAAAGAGAACAATTAAAAACATAATTTGAATGTAGCGTTGAAGGGTCTGATTCCTTTTAGTGAATCAGTTTGCACAGGTTATACAAATGAACCTTTTCAACAAATGATTCAGTGATTTATTTGTGTCCATGTTGTGTCAGTGAAGTCCTTATGCTTCTTAGGTCTTTTTATAGTCTTCTTTTAGGGTATATTACGGTGGCCGTAAAGTGCAAAGCAAATCACAATTCTGAAAACAAAATAAAATGTCAGAAAACACAAAGACAAATCAGACAAACCGGTAGGTATAGTTTGAGACAGCGCCATTGGTTTGGGATTACTCACCGCTGACTGGACGAGACATCTGTCAATCAACGTATACAGGAACGAACCAGCCAAAGAACAGCAGAGTCGTGGTAGAAAGTTCGGAGATGGTATTAAAGTAGCTCAGTTTAAATGTATTGTATGAATTGCCCTTACTATGGAATAAAAAATACGGGGTGTCTATTTAGATTTAGTTAAAAGTGACCATGAAACATCAGCTCAAGTGGCGTGGATGGATAAGTGCTTGCTCTTGGCTTTTTGACGCAATCGACCCGGGTTCTATCCCACCTTTTGCCGAACTTTTTTTTTTTCCATTTTCAAATCTCGTATTAGCAATGGATTCTATTTACACTAAGTGAAAATAGCAGTTTTTTTGTAGCAATATGCTATTTACACTAAGTGCAAATACCTATTTACATTGTTAAAATAGCAGGATTTCTACTATCAAGTGGGATCGAACCCGGGTCGATCGCGTCAAAAAGCCAACGACACACACTTATCCATCTGCACCACTTGAGCTGATGTTTTACAGCCACTTTAAACTAAATGTAAATAGACACTCAGTATTTTTTGATTGACAGATGTCTCGTCCAGTCAGCGGAGAGTAATCCCAAACCAATGGCGCTGTCTCAAACTATACCTACCTTTTCCGGTTTGTCTGATTTGTCGTTGTGTTTTCTGACTTATTAATTTTTTTTCGGGTTTGTTGTTGTGCTTTCTGAATTGTTATTTTGTTTTTTAAACTTGCATTTGCGTTTGTAATTTGTTATTTTGTTTTCAGAATTGTGATTTGCTTTGCACTTCTCGGCCACCGTAGTATATATATAAATAACCATAAACTAATATCAACCATGATTTTTAATGTCATTATGAATCATTATTTAATCAGACTGCCAAGAGTTAAAACGATTTTCTGGATTAAAAATGCAAAATAACTCTTTTTATCATTATTGATTTGCATTGATGACAGGCTGTGTTATGTTTCCATATTTAAATTAAAATAGACTGCAGTATGCAACATTGTGCTTCTATTCTACTGTGATCTACGTAGCCAAAGCATGTCTGTTTTTACACGTTTATTTGGCACATTCATGTTAATGTTCCCCACAGTTCCCCTGTGACCTTATTGGTCGGCTGAGTTAATACATTTTCTGCCCGGCCAATCATCAGACCTCTATCAGTCCAAAAACACCTGGTGTTCCTCGTATCAGGCACACTGGAGATCTGGATACAGAGGTCTTTTTTAGCCCCTGGTGAAAGGTGCCCTTTCACAGTGATCCTGGATCAGTCTGCCTGCCCAGAGCTCAACCAGAGCAATTATAACTTTGTCGGAAAGTATTAAAAGGCAAATGCCTTTTTATTAGCAATGGCTGCAAAAATGAGGAAGCCGCTCTTTTATTATGGACAGTTTTTCCCAATATCATTTTTTATACTCGGATATTAAATTTGTGTGGTTTGGCCTTAGAGGATCTCAGTTACTGAAAGCAACAAACACATCTCATTACCTCATGGAGTTATTTATTCATATGGAACCAGTTGGTCTCTTAAGTCATTATCTTCACGGGATGTTTTTTAGAAAAGAATATTAGCCAAGTGAGAAAATAGCATTACATTTTGGTAACACCTTCTGTGGTGCCTGTGCATAAAATGCATTATAAATTTAGGGGATATTGTTCTTCATATCTCAAAGTCTACTTTAGATCTACATGCCATCTTTCAGGTATGCAGCAAATATTTATGAATAAGAAATAAATATGTGTATGTGGCTTAAGCAATTTGTTTAAAAGTTTGGGGTTGGTAAGATTTTTTTAAATGTTTTTGAAAGAAGTTTCTAATACTCACCAAGGCTTCATTTATGTGATCAAAAATACAGTACAAATGGTAATATTGTGAAATATTATTACAAATTAAAATGACTGTTAATTTCTATTTTAATATATTTCCAAATGTGATTTAAAACATAAATCCAATGCATCCTCGCTGAATAAAATTATTATTATTATTATTATTTAAAAAATCATACTGATCACAAATGTTTAATGGTATATGTGTGCCAACAGTAATAAGCAGTAAAAGTTATATTTAATAGATGTGACCCTGGACCATAAAACCAATTTTGCGAAATTGAGATTTATACATCACCTCAAAGCTGAATAAATTAGCTTTCCATTGATGTAATTTGTTAGGATCGGACAATATTTGGCCGAGATACAAGTATTTGAAAATCTGCAATCTGAGGGTGCAAAAAAATCTAAATATTGAGAAAATCACCTTTAAAGTTGTCCAAATGAAGTTTAGCAATGCATATTACTAATCAAAACTGACGTTTTAATATATTTACAGTAGGAAAGTTACAAAATATCTTAATGAAACATGATCTTTACTTAATATCCTAATGATTTTTGGCATAAAAGAAAAATCTAATTTTGATCCATACAATGTATTTTTGGCTATTGCTACAAATATACCCCAGCGACTTAAGACTGCTTTTGTGCTCCAGGGTTACATATTTTTATTGAGAAAGATTATAATATTGAATTTAATATTAGTTTGTAATTGAATTTAATATTGAGTTTGCATGTTCAATCACCCCTAATATCAAATGACTGCACACATAAAAAAATAATAGACAATATAAATATTAATATTAATATTACTGAATCACTTGCATCTTTATATGGTACTGATTCTTTAAGCATTCAGGAATAATATGTTTGAACATAATTAAATTATTTGTGCTAAAATATATTAATTAGCTGAAGTCTTCAACCAAATTATTAGAATATAATACATTATATATGAAAGTATTGTGAAAACTGTTTTAAATACAATATATATATATCATATAGAATTATGAGTGCCTTTTATACTGTACACTCTAAAAAATGCTGGGTTAAATACAACCCAGTGCTGGGTAAAATGGGGACAAACCCAGGAATTGGGCTGTTTTGACCCAGCGGTTGGGTTACTACCCAGAAGGTTGTGTTAAACATTTAACCCCACCGCTGGGTCAAAACAGCCCAATTGCTGGGTTTGTCCCTATTTTACCCAGCACTGGGTTGTATTTAACTCAGCATTTTTAGAGTGTACATACAGGCTTCATAAAAATTTAATTTGTTGATGAGAATATTCTGACATATCTTATCTTCGTTCCTCCAGCTTCATTCAAGTGTGGACAGAGGTGATGGACGAACCAAATACATATTAAAAGGCGAGGGGGCCGGTTCGGTGTTCGTCATTGACAGCAGAACGGGCAACATCCACGTCACCAAACCCCTAGACCGTGAGGAAAAGGACCAGTACCGCCTTATCGCCACGGCAACAGACCGACAGACTGGCAGAGCCCTGGAGCCTTCATCCCAGTTCATCATCCGTGTGCAAGACATCAACGACAACCCGCCTGTGTTCCAGGGCGGCCCGTACAGCGCCACCGTCCCTGAGATGGCCAACATTGGTACTGCGCTCGGCTGCACACACGCAAATGCCCTCTGACTGCTGTCAGCTGTGTTTGGAAGAAAAAACGGAGGGTCACATGCTCATTGAACCATGAGTTTGTCAAAAATATCTCTTATTTCATCTCTCTCTCTTTCCCTAGGCACATCGGTTATTCAAGTGACAGCCACAGATGCTGATGACCCAACGTATGGGAATAGTGCCAAACTTGTGTATTCAGTGATTCGTGGCCAGCAGTACTTCACCATGGACCCGCAGTCAGGTGTGCGTTCGCTTTTATTCTTTATGATTAGAAATGCAGAATATTTTATGTCTCTCAAGGTTAGTTTATAAAGGGCCAATTTTACCAACAGCTTGCATCAACGCAGACCCTCTTTTGGCATCAAAGGTGTAGTATATAATATTGATGGCTAGTAGCTGAAATAGGTACTGTGGTCCAAATTCAAAATAGTGGAGAGAGTTGTTTCTCCCGCTCCTCCTCCTTAGACTCGATGCTCACGCAGGTTGCCAGATTGAGGACATGGAACGACAATGATAGTCGACAAGCCTTACACTGTAAATTGATGAGCTGATTTATCCGTCTTTTCCATTCCAGGGGCTGGTTGCATAAAAGGTTTAGATTAGTCTTAAAAAGTTAGTCATCTAATTTTGTTTTTTAAGACTGCTCAAAATGTTTTAAATTCGGTTACATTAAAATGTAGGTTAAAATTTGGTTAACTGCTAGTTGGTCAAACTAGTTCTTAAGACACTGTCTTTACATAGAAGCTAAGTTTATGCAACTGGCTCCAGTGCGCTATTTTTCCATTGTTTTTCTGTGTAAACACGTGCTAAACAGACGTATATCACAGTTGCGTCTCGCATCTTTTGCAGCATCTCGCTCATGAGCGTGTATTTTTACGATGCTGTGTCAAGTTAAAAGAATTTAAACTTTTACACACAGCGCTGCTCATCAATGTCAGTTCCAAAACAGTGGACCAATCAGAGCACCCAGGAGGGGAGTTGCAAGTTTTTGTTTACAGTAGCAAGTTGGCATTTTATTTGATGGCAACATGACGGAGGAGGCATTCTGCACTGTGCTTTTTTTTTAAAGACACGTTCTGTGTGAATGGTCCTATACACTGTGTTTTCCACTAACTGGCAACCCAGGGTGTCAAAATACTATTGGGTGAATTGGCGATGGGCGGAATCACACAGGTCAAAACAAAAACAGACATTCTGACACGGAACACACATTTCAAAGTAGAATAACTGGCGTTAGCATTGTTTATCAGAGAAACAAGTATGAGAACTTAGCATGTTTCTTAAATATCTGCAGATATATTATGCTGTTTTTAGTAGAGTCAAAAAATGACATATAGCACCTTTACCAAAAGCTACTTTATTAAAGAAATGCAGTGAAACATCAGTGATGAGAAGTGATGATTTTTGCGGCTAACCTTATAGGAATAGTTCGCCCAAAAATGAAAATCCTGTCAATAATTACTTACCCTCATGTCATTACAAACCCGTAAGACCTTCATTAATCTTCAGAACACAAATATATACAAGATATTTTTGATGAAATCCGAGAGCTTTCTGGCCTAAAGTCTGCAATGTTTTTTTGCACCCTTATTCCACCCTTATTTTCACTTTCTGTGGGTGGGGGGGTTTGATACTCGAGATGGCAAGCGCTGTGATAGAGCCGTATATATTTGAGCCCGAGGCAGAATAATCTGAACAATGCAATGCAACCACAACGATTGCACCAGACTGTCTCAGCGTGGTAATTGCTTTTGCTTGCTTAATTTTCAGTATTTTGGTTTAAAAGTACTATTATTACTTGTTGTTTTACAAAAGACATTGCGTGTGCGTGGGTATGTACTGATTGTATTAGCAACACTCAAACAATGATACACTTTGTGTCTTCATAGTGTTAAATTCTGGTTTGACGTTTATTACAAACACTCTGTAAAATAAGGACAAAACAGCCTATTGTGAAATGTGAAGAACAAACGAAAACTTTATATTTCAGTTGCTCAGGCACATCATTTAAAAATCAACTTCAGCCATGCATTTCTAATGCTTGGATTTGTTGGAAAAGAGGTTTTTGGAGGTGCAGTTTCTTTACACCCACTCACAGAAAAACCTCTGAGTTTGATGATCTTGCGTGACATCTTTATACAGCAATATCGCTTGTGTGATTGATGGACAGACATGAGCTGTTCAGAATGCATCTTCTTGATTACATGAAGTCACGATTCTCCTGATTTCAAATCTGGGCATTTCATAAGGGTGGAAATAAATAATATTTTAAACTGCAGAGTTCTGTAGAGTAACCTCTTATAAATGTAAGTATCAAGAACATTTGGTTCTCCATTTCATGACCCCTTTAAGTAAAGGTTTATTTCTTCAAGACATTTGTTGGGCTGTGGTCCAGCAGAATCATTAGACACATGCACTCAGCTCATAACGTATCTGTTGTAGTGCAAGAATAAGGCTGAGTGATGTTTGAAAAAAGAACTCACAACAGGTCAGCCTTGTTGCTGCAGAATCTGGTACGTTCATTGCAGCGGTCAAGTGAGTTTAAAAGAGCCCTCTGCGATATGAAAGGACCCGGGCAACAGGAAGTGGTGTAATTCTAAAAAGTCATCCTGATTTTAAATCATCAAAAATGATCATGAAACCTAAAAACATAATGTTGTCACTCTAAAACAATCAAAAGGAATTTGGTTTCCTATTGCATTCTGCATAAGTTTTTATTAATTTGTATTCCTTGAACATTTTCTAATCACTTCTGTTGACTACATTCTATTGTTTTTTGAATGACTAGTTACTATTCAATACTATTAACTATATTCTATTTACTAAATAATGAAAACGGATAAAGTTTTCTTTTGTATTCTATATCATTTTCTACATTCTATATGACTAGCAAGTGGAAGTTGACTGAATTCTACAGTATTATTTAATATTTAATTTATTATATTTTCATTATACTAAGATCATTAATATATTGACTAGATTCTGTTCTGTTTTTTAAGGCTTCAGCACAAAGGAATGATCCATTTTAAATATTTTTAAATGTGCTAGAAATAGTAAATATTGAGTTTTTTATGAAATATTTTGTCCAATAAAATGTTGTTTTCTTTACAAAAAATATGCTTAATATGTATTTATTTTAAATGTGTGTGTGTATATTTTAAATGTGTGTATACACACACACACACACACTACACTATACGCTACCATTCAAAAGTGTTAATAATACTTTTTAATACCAATACTAATTTATACTTTTATTTAAATAGAATGCATTAATTTGATCAAAAGAGAGAGTAAAGAAACTGTTAATGTTACAAAAGATTTAAATTTTTCAATTTGATTTCTTTCAAAATGCTAATAAATATTTTCTATATTTTCTTTTCTTTTTTTGGATCAAATGAACAAAACCATGGTGAGACAAAAAAAATAAAAAAATTATAAAAACCTTTAACAAAACTTACCAAACAAACTTCATCCTTATCCCCACAGATTCATAAAAACACTTTTGCTGTAAAATGATGACATAGGCAAAATATTTTTGATTGGTTTGTGTTTTTTCAGCATATTCTCAATATGTTGTTTTTGCAAATTCATCTATGTTCCCTAGCTAGATAAAATTATCTTGGTCACAAATCACTGGCAGGATCAGCAACAACGGTGTAGAATCACAGAAAACCAAAGATTTATAATTTGCAAGGCGTATGTAAAATAAATGTACAATATTCACTGGCATGTAAGAACAAGTGAGAGTTCCATCTAGTGTAATATCTGTCTGACCTATCAGAAGCAGTCAGATCTGTATTCTGCTAAAATTTCTGTGAATGAAACTCAGGGCAGGACAACAGTGTGAGGTGTAGGATGTTCAATGTGATTCCTTTTAATTCACTCCAGTTTTACCTAATTACCTTACTGGCATGAAAGTTGCTCAATATTGCCAAAGCAAAGTGATGTTTGCTCTGAGTGATCTGTTCCTGTCTCTGTCTCTCTCGGCAGGTATCGTGCGCACAGCGGTGCCTGATATGGACAGGGAAGCTCAGGCGCAGTACCAGGTGGTGCTCCAGGCAAGAGACATGGGTGGCCATCAAGGGGGTCTGACAGGGACCACCACTCTCACTGTGCACCTCAGTGACGTCAATGACAACCCACCCCGCTTCACTCAAAGTGAGTCACACATCCAGCCCTGCTCCAGAACACATTAAAAACCCAGTCTAGTCTAGTCTAGTCTGTCTACTCTAGTCTACTGTTCATTCTGTTGAACATATTTTATTCTGTTGTAATCTATTCTTGTTATCTGCTGTACTTTATTATACTGCTTATGTTTCTTCTAATCCGTTCTAGTCTAGTCTACTGAGCTTTGTTTTATTCTAGCTAAATAGTCTGTAGTCTGGTCTAGTCTAGTTCAGGTTATTTTCTACTCTAGTCTATCTACTCTATGAAGGATTATCTAATCCTCTATTTTGTTCTGTCCTATCCTATTCTATTCTATTCTATTATCTGTTTAATTTTATTGTAATCTGTTCTAGTCTAGTTTACTGAGTTTTGTTTTATTCTAGTTGTCTAATCTGGGCAGATTTATTCTAGTCCAGTTTAGTGTACTCTGTTACTGTATGTTCTAGTCTAGTTTATCTCTAATCTACTAAATGTAACTATTATATACTATACTATACTATTCTATTTTGTTCTATTCTGTTATGTTATGCTCTGTGAAGGATGATATCTAATCTAGTCTACTATTCTATTCTATTCTTTAAAGTATCATATCTAATCTAGTCTACTCCACTATTCTATTCTATTCTGCTTTACGTTATTACTCTATTTAATTTTATTGTAATCTGTCCTAGTCTAGTCTACTGTGCTTTGTTTTATTCTAGTTGTTTTATCTGGGCAGGTTTAGTCTAATCCACTTTAGTGTACTCTGTTATGTTCTAGTCTAGTTTATCTCTAATCGAATTAGTTTTACTATTCTATTCTATTCTATTCTATTCTATGAAGGATCATATCTACTCTAGTCTACTATTCTATTCTATTCTATTCTATTCTATTCTATTCTATTCTATTCTATTATATTATATTCTATTCTATTCTAGTGTTCGCTGTTCTGCTCCCATCTGTTTAGCCTATTCTAGTATAGTCTACTCTAGTGTATTTATTCAATTGTATCATCTCATTTAATCTGGCCTAGTCTGACCTGTTCTATTCTACTATACTGCACTGTTTTATTCTAGTTTTTTTCTAGTATACTTGTTCTATTCTTATGATCTAATCTGGTCTGGTTTAGTCTAGTCTAGTCTACTCTGTCTGTTCCAGTATAGTCTAGTCAATTTAACTTTCTTCTATTCTATTTTAGTACACCACACTGTTTATTCTCTAGTCTAGTGTACATAACTTTTCTAGTCATCTAATCTGTTTTAGTTTACTAAGACTAGGCTATTATTTAATTGGTTATTACTAATTGACATAAAGCTTAAATAAAATGAAACAAATATTAGATGAAAAAAAATTGAATGTTGCTTTGGCAACTAACTGAAAACAAATCAAAGTACTAAAATTGCTAAAAACTAAATAAAAATAAATTGTAGCTAAATAGAAATACTTAAAACAAAAATGTCATTACAAACCCGAAAGAAACTCTATTATGATCTGGTCTACTCATATTCTGGTCTTGTCTAGTGCGCTCTGTTCTGTTTCAGTCTTAGTCTAGTTTAGTCTCATTTATTTTCCATGAGCTCTCTGTCAGAGCATATAAACTCTGAATTCAATAGCTATTTTGTTGTGAAGATCAAAGAGTCTCAGTGTGGGCTCTTTATATCGCCGTCAGCATACACACTGTCCATTAGTTGTTCTAATGACATGCATTGCACTGCTTGCTAACATCACAAGTGCTGTTTCCACGTCCACGGTCAGACTAACCAGCAGGAAGAGAAGAGATGTGGGCGTTCAAGTTTGTGTGTGACATGATGTAACCTTTTGAAATAGATTCATGCTTTATTTCTATTCTACTTTAAATCACTCTGTCCTATTTTCCTGACTGCACTTCTGTCCACTTGTTAGCCACAGCGAGCTTATTACACATGTACTATTCATGCTGCGGATGCTGTCTTATTGCAGTAATTGATTGACAGCTCAAAGTCATGAGTGGTGGTTTGGAGACTGTGGGCGTGATGTCAGAAGATGACACATGAGGGACCGACTTGCGTCTGCTGTATTATATTCTGTGATTGGGATGCGATCTTATCAGTCGTACACTAGAAAGTCATGACGTACACAATTACTTAGCTGCATAAATTCAATTGCCAGTCTGAACTGTTCGAAATGGATTATTTCCCTAGAAATGCGTAATTATATTATATATTCACTTGTGTTCATCGACTCCCTGAATCAATCTCTCTAATCACAAACGCTCAAACCACCTGTTGTTTGTTTCTCTTACAAAGAACAAAATAAAATATATTTCAATCATGACAACTCTCGAAACATTTTAGCATGGTGATGGATATGACAATGTTAATATATTTGGTCTTGGCTGAACAGATCTGCTACGCTGCTGCTGAATTGCTGCTGCTGTTGGTTATTGCTGTAGTTGTAGATTATTGCTGCTGCTGCAAGCAAGTACAGGAACTTGCTACTGCCAGTGCATATGGTGATACGGTGCCATGAGTATTTAAGACATACTGCTGCTGCACAAATAGCATATAAAATAACCCCGTAGCAGATCTATACAGGTGGAGCTGGGGAAGGTGGAGGGTTTCAGAGAACTCTGAATGCGCGCTGCAGGAATCTCAAGTGAACGCTAGTCAGCCATATAAATGCAAGGCAGTTAGCTCATTGGCTGCATATGCGGCATGAACCAATCAGCTTGTGCCAAGTCGTTTATCTCCCTGAATATCATCAGTTATGTTAACACCCCGTCAGAATGCGCCATCTAGAGTTTCATGACTGAACTATATATAAAAGCTGGTTTAGTACACTACACTGTTTTATTCTAGTCTACTGAACTTTGTTTGATTCTAGTCATCTAAGCTGGTCTGGTCTAGTTTAGTCCAGTCCAGTGCAGTTTTGTTGTAAAAACTAAAACTATTATTTAAAAACATGAAATAAAGCTGAAATAAAATATGAAATAAAGCTGAAATAAAGTAACAATAATAATACTACTGTGACAAGAGGGGCGGGGCCAAGAGCCGTGGGAACGGAGGAGCTCGAGTCCCACAGAGGAGCTCCGGAAGGATAAAAGGAGGAGTGATGACAGTGTTGGAGGAGAGAGAACCAGGCCTGGACTTTATTTTGTGTTTTGGTTCTGTTTGTGCACGACATTCGTCCGCGAGGGGCTGTCGCGCTATTTTGTGTTTATTTTATTATTAAAATAATAGCTCCGTTCCCACGGCTCTCGGCCCTGCCCCTCTCGTCACAACTACTACTACTAATAATAATAAAACAAGGATATGTAAAACATAGAAACAAGATATTTGTGTGTGTTTATACTCTGAGATATCTTGTTTCTATGTTTTACATATCCTTGTTTTATTAATATTGCATGTTGCCTCCTTAAATATCAGTAACCACTTGTGATAGTTGTGTTTGAGTCCATCAGAAAAGTTGAATGTCAGCATCAAGACAGTGTGGGGAGGAACTCAAATATGCAGAGCATGCTGGGAAACCAAAGAACAGAGACATTTTGATGCTCAGGGAGGTAACATATAAAATTATATGTGAAAGTATGTGATCTTTTGAACATGATAAATAATTGGGTTACACTTTACTTGAAGGGGTGTGCATAAGACTGACATGACACCTTCATAATCATGACATGACACCTACATAATCATGACATGACACATGTCATGAATATGAAGGTTTTTTTATGCATGTTTATGACAACTGTCATTAAGTGTCATTCTCTCAGTTATGTAATTTTTAATGCAAATATGACATTGTTTGAGATGTCTTTGTTATGGGCTATGGTTAGGGGTAAGGGTAGGGGTAGGGGTAGGTCAAATAATGTCATATTTGCATTAAAAATTACATAACTGAGCGAATGACACTTAATGACAGTTGTCATAAACATGCATAAAACCTCCTTCATATTCATGACATGTGTCATGTCATGATTATGAAGGTGTCATGTCAGTCTTATGCACACCCCTTCAAGTAAAGCGTTACCATATTACTTAATGGCCTGGCAGTAAGATGCTTGCAAACTGTTGTCATTGCTAATACTTCAAAAATCATGCAGCTTATAAGAGAGAGGTGCTTTTATTTTTCTAAGGGATCAGAGCTACAGATTTCATCTGGTGGACAAACAAATGGGTCAAAAATCTACTAGACTTTCACTAAAAGTAGGTATAGCAGAGATCTGGGGGATGGGCTCTTTTGACTTGTAAGCAACCACCGAGCAATATGGAAATTGTTTAACAATGTACCAACAACTACTCAAAACACCTCAGCAACTACCAAGAACACACTCAACCACCAAGATGACCTTAGCAACCTACCCAGCACTGTCTTTATGTATGTATGTATATATATATATATATATATATATATATATATATATATATATGACCTCACAGTATAATCTAAACTGCCATGTCCATGAAGCTGAAGTCCTTCCATGTAACCAGAAGATTTTATGCCATCTCAGCATACTTTTTAAGGCATAGCTGTTGGAACAGAAATGAATGCCTAGAGCAAGACTGCCTTGTCTGCTAAAGAATTCACTAGTCTGTGCCCATCACCCATAACCGCATCAGAGCAAAACTAGGTCAGCCCTTCCTTTTACGGATCAACCAGATCACTTCAGTGTGCTTGTGAAACTGCTGCTCTATTCTCCAGGCTCTTACTCAGCCCCCAACCCCTTCACTACTCCCTTTGTCCTTCCCTTGCCTTGCCTATATATCTATTCCCTGCACAAAATCTGTGTGTGTGCATAACCTTCACTTCATTGCTACCATTCCTTTCGTTGCTTTTTGTCTGCCTGCAGAGTACAGGGTTTCTGGATTTTTACGCTCAAATTTAAGACCTTTTTAAGACATTAAGACCTGCACAAATAAAATGAATACCATATGAGCAGGGTAGGGCAATGTCTATAGTACCATATTAAACTGTAAATTACTGTAAAAAGCATAACTTCTACATAATCATGACATGACACCTACATAATCATG